CATTGTGAATCCTTTACATCTGTTCAGGAGGAAATTTATTCCTCTTTGATACAGTTTTATTTTTCAGATAAATGAATATGATGTAAAGGTTATTTTACCTTCAAATATATAAAGTAAGATATTTCTGAGAGTTTTCTCCCCTCATCTGAAACCTGGACAATGGCTACATAATCTCCATTTACTGCTTTAGACAGATCTCCTCTTTTACCTTTCCTTTCTCCCTTAGAACTGATCAGGTGCATAGTTGGTAATGGCATTTTGTGGTTTTTTTCCCCCCTATACTACTATAGTTAAGAATGTGGTAGTGGTTCCATTGTAATCATAAAGTCGTAGAAGTTTATAATTTGAATAACAGTTTAAAGATGTTACTTTGCACTTTGGATTTCAATGGTGTATTTGTATTTTCTAATTTTTTTTGAAGTAGGATTGAATATCTGTGCTTTTTTTCATAGTATCTTCCACTTAAGATTTCAGAGTGCCTTACCATTCACATTGGCATGGCAAAAAGTGTTATTCCTTTCTATGGAGACCTGAGATGTAGCCCGCAGAGATTAAGTGATTTATCTGAGATCATACAGTGAAGGCACAGTTGAGGTGAATGAGGTTAAGTCAGAACCTACTATCCTAGGGGCAGCTGTCTTCAACTAGGTTGTTTTAATGCATAGGTGGTCTGAGAATACTCTTCTGGTTTACTTTTTTCTTTGGGCTACTTTGGTTGATATGCTAGGAAATAAACTTTACAAATGTGGTCAAACTTGCTGCTTCTCACTGTTTCTCATAAGCCACTTTCTTGTGCTGGTATTTAGGCATAGTGACCAGTACAGAGTAGCAGGGCAGGTAGAGCAGAAGTCAGAAACTCAGCCACGGCTGCCTGCTCTCTGGATAGCAAAAAGCATAGCTCAGTGGACTGACTTCAGTCAGGAGGAGAAACAGATAGGAGAGGCCAATGCCTTAAATTTAAAAAGCTGGCTCGTAGAAATGAGACATCACTGTGGTATAGAGAGGCATCTGGGACCAGCTTGGTGTATAGCAGCCTCCACGCAGGCAGGCGAAACATGAAAGCTAAGAACTGGGAAGTCTTGTTGGGGGATGCGTGCAGCAGGCAACTTGGCATATAGCGAAGTTGAGCAGCAGGGTCACACCTGTCGGGTCCGGTTCCTTGGAGGGCATTTGGCAGAAGCAAGGCAGCCCCAGTCCATCAAGGAGTGACATTGTAAGCAGGCTCCCAGTGTAGGGGCTCAGGTAGAAAGGACTAAGGCAAAAGTGAACTTACCACATGGCGTTGAGCTGAGACCTTGGGAACAAAGGAAAACCCTAATTATCAATACTAAACTAGATGAAGCAAGCACCAAAAACCTAATAAATATATTAATTTCTAACTGACAGGGGTTATAAAGAAGATAAAACAGAGTAACATGTACATTTAAATTTATTTAAAAAAAATTATAAGATTTTATTTATTTGAGAGAGAGAGAGGGCCTGAGCATGAGCAGGGGGGAAGGGGGAGAGGGAGAGATAGAAGCAGACTCCCCACTGAGCAGGGAGTCTGACTTGGGGCTCGATCCCAGGGCCCTGAGACCATGACCTGAGCCAAAGGCAGATGCTTAACTGACTGAGCCACCCAGGTGCCCCTTAAATTTATTGATTGATTGATTCACACATTTTTTATTTAACTTCCTACCTGCTGTTGTTTTCTAAAAGCCACACATGAGATAGCTGGGATTGAAAACTAAAATCAAATCAGTTCTTACTGAAGAGTACATGCTTAGTATTTTCTCCCCTTCCAGACACTTTTAGCACAGTTTTCCCCAAATTAAGATTTTCTTCTACTCTTACAATTAGAAGAGGCAAAATTATTAGTATAATTGATACTCAGCTGTAAAGGATAAAGGTTAGGTATATGCATGGTGTGTGTGTGTGTGTGTGTATAGACATTAAAACTGAACATTAAACTTGTCCATTTAAGAGCTGTAAATAAAGGTGGTGGATTCAAACACTAAAAAGATGGTTAAAATAGCTTAACGTGCTTCTCATACTTGAAGATTCTACATTTCCACATATTTTTGTCTCACATTTTGTGAGGTAATTATGCTATGTGTTTGATCAGTAAATTATCACATTGCATTTTTATTTAACAAAACTCTCATTTCAGAGGCTCTTCATTTGTCTCATAGCATTCCTTTTATTATCATATTTGAGTTTATGTAGCAATACAGTCCTTCTAAATAATAATCCTGTATTTTAGTAGCAATCCTTCTGAAGTATTGGCATTATGCCTTATTATATTATATATATAATATAATATATTATATTAAAGAAATATCCATGCCAACTATGGCATGGTTTGACTTGATCTGCAAGTTGGCAATAAGAGAGGAAATTCATAGTACTTCTATGTTAACTAAATGCCATATCTACTTAAATTATCTAATATGCTACTGTAATCTACTTATGAAAGCAGTAGTTTGCTTAGACAAATAGTCTGTAAAATAGTAGGAACTGTTTTAATGCTGAAATGACCACAGAGCACACAAATGCCAAACTATATACAAAGAATCTTTCCTTCTTATACTCCGAGTTCTTTGTCAGTGGATCCAAAAACAACTTAAAAATATGTTCTCTGGTTCACCTGGTTTACTATTTTGTCTTAAACCTATTATCTTGAAATACAAATTCAATTTTAGGTATTGGTCTAGTTTAGATTTGGATTGTTGTGTAGAGAGTCTTTGTGGTAGTTAATGGTTTATTATCCTTCAGTGGTTTGGGGTAGGAAGCTCTTTTCACAGTCTTTGACATCTCCTGAACGGATTTTCAAGATTGTTGTAATTAATTTGTATCCTAATTTAGCCAGTGGTATCTATAATGCCTCAGTAGGGTAAAAACCCTTAATTTTGGCAATTAATGGGAAGTTCTCCAGTGGACATATAGAGAGTTCACACTTAGGTCTAAAGAACCAACTCCATAAGCGCAGAAGGAAGACATGTGGCAAGTATGGAAAAGGTCTAGAGTTTAATCGTCTGGTTGCTCACTGTGAATCAAGAGTTGAGGCAGCCGTCAAGAGATCAGAGGCAACCAAAGACCTGGTTGGCAGGGAGAATTCCCAGTAAATGGGAGGGATGGCTCTCTCCTACCCTGCACTCCCAACCCCAGCCTGGTGTCTTGGGGGTCAGTTTGGGGTTCTCTCGTTAGCTGTATAAATTTTTAATTGCTTAAATTTGGAGCTCATTCAAATACAAGTGGTCAGGACGGAGAGAAAACTTGAAACCATGTTTATATAGGGAAGAGCTGGAGGAACTGAGGTCATTTATTCTGGAGGAGAGGGTACAGAATTGCTGTCTTCACAGATAGAAAGGGCTACCATGTAGAAGAGAGGTTAGATTTATTGTGCATGGCTCTGGAGGGTAGACTCAGGGCCAACGGGGCAGATTTTGGCTCACTATAAGAATAGCTTTCTACTGGTTACACATGTCCCTGGAAGGAGTGAACTGCCTCCAAAAGTAGTAATTTTGGACTGTGAAGACAACCATGCTTAGGCAGATGGTTGCTATTGCAAACAGGGTCCTAGGAAAATCCCACAAGACTGTATCTGTAAAGTCCTCCCAGCCTAGTTCTATGTCTTACCATCTCTCTGTCCAGCTAACACATTTCTTGATCACCCTCTGTTTATCAAGCGTAGTGTTCGGGGTGCAGAGAACTCCGGGCACTCTCATGGGGAAACTAAACATGCAGCCAGCCACTACAGCACAGGGTGAGAAGTAACCTAATCCAATTTGGGTATTTGAAAGGTGGCTTAGCTGTTAAGGTTGAGGATGGAGCGGTGCTAACAGTAGGCTTCCCAGGGGTTCCATCTGAGTCTCAGGTTTCTTACCTCTTTATAAGGGGCTTGGACTATTCTGTAGCATTCTATGCAAATAAATTCATTCAGTGTCTTCCTTTATAGTTTCATTTTGATTGTCAGGCCCATGGTGCTCTAGGTTTTGCCAACCTCTGGGTACAAATGGATTCACACTGGCAACAATACCCAGATTTCACTTAGGCTTGCCTATTGTGCTGCTTAGGACCTCTGGACCTCTATAAAAATCTTTCCCAGCTATCTCTAGGACTGCCTGGCCATGCCCAATGGGAGCTCATGGGCTGACTCCTCCTGCTTCTTGCTCTGTTATTATCTGAACCCACCTGAGGGTGGAGCCTCCTCAGGCCAGTCCTGCTGGTGCTGGTACCCTCTATGATGATGACGAGGTCCCTGCCCAGCATTGGTATTCCTAGGATTGCAGCCTTCACGGTGGTAAGGTGACACTGCACTTCTCGAGGTCTTCACTGTAGCACAGCCATACTAGTCCCAGCAAAAGTGGGGTTAATAGCCCACTTCCTCATTTTGTGTCATTTTTTATCACCTGGGCAGTGAAGTGGGACTAGAGAGGCTTATGTCTCACAAAATTCCTCTTGAAATAAGCTCCTCTGGTTTCTGCCTGCAACCCCAAGGCTGTGGGACCACTAGCTGAGAGAGACACCGGGGTTTTCTCTTCATTCCAGTTTCCCCCAAGATCTCAAAAGGTCCTTTCTGTGCTGGCCAATTCTCCTTGAGCAGAAAGATAAAACAAATGAAGTATAATCCTGGCAGTTTCAGGATCCAGATCATCAAATATACCTGAGATGATTATTGTTATTGTTATTTATGACTTATGTCTGGCACAGGGCTAAATGATTTTCCTATATCATCTCAGTCAATCACCTCAGCCTTTGGAGCTGCAGACTCTTAGTATCCTCATTTGTAGATAAGGATGAGGCTAAGAGGAATTAAGTAACTTGCTCAAGGTCAAACAGCTGACAGAGCTAGAGTTTGAAACCAGACTATTATGAAATAGTCCAGAAAGCAAATTCTCGAAAGGCCTCCAACACTTGGATATAAACAAGCCATCTTATAACCTGGTTAACAGTCAAGTGCCTCCTTTGCTCATTTTTCATCTTTGGGTAAATTCAAAATTGGTTTTTGCATCCAGGGCTGGGAAGAAACAGTGGATGCTGCCATTTCCCACCTCTTGAAGACTTGCCTATCAAAGAGTTCGAAGGAGCAGGCTTTGAACCTCAGCAGCCAGCTGAACATGCCCAAAGACACAAGCCGACTGAAGAAACATATCACCTTGCTCTGTGATAGATTAGCCAAAGGTGGACGTCTCTGCTTGAGTACAGATGCAGCGGCTCCGCAGACCATGGTCTTGCCGGGTAAGAGCTTTGTCCATGCTCCCTAAGCACGACTACTTTCCCCAAATTAAAGGAATGTGCCTGAGGTTGTATTTGGGGTTTACATTTCATATTAAAGTGATGATAGCCAAGAAAATTGCTTTCACATTTCCCTTCAGATATCCCAGAGTAACCACTTGGATAAATATTCTTGGGGTATTTGCTTGCTAGACATTTCTAGAATGGTATGTCTTTTTTCTTCCCTCTGCTTTTAAATATATGATCCATTTTGTTTTGCTTCTAACCAATAAAAAGTGGATTAGAGAATAAAACTATTTTTAAGAAAAAGTTTTACTAAATGTGGTCTCGCGATACCATATTTCATAAATGTAAATAGCATAATACAAGCAGCTAATGTAATCCAGATGAGTGAGTCCCATCCCTACTGCTGTTTGCTTGGACTGTGGTCATCAGAATAAGGGGGGCAAGAGACAAAGAAAAAGACGGATCAGGAGATGTGAACAGGCTGCAGAGACATGGCACCTACAGGCCAAGGTAGAGAGAGATCCAGCTTGCCCCAACATGAGCAGTAAGTGCTGGCCATGGGCATCCTGGTCAGCCCTTTCCATGGTCAGAGGGGCTAAGCAATCAATGGTGCTACACTTGGGTCCCTTGGGGGCAGCAGCTCCCATGTCCTTCTTCCCTCTTAGTGGTCTGTCTTACGGCAACAGCAAAGAACATAAAGTAAATGCATTAATTCAGTGCAACAGCTGTAGTATCTATTTCCTTCTAAAGCCAGGACCATGGTATGAGAAGTGATATGGTTTTCTCTTCTTCCTTCTCACATGCCTTATATGCCCCTCCCCCGCATGCTGATGCTCTTCCTCTTGCTTCCTTTTCCCCTCAATCAGCATTCCTAGAAGTAAAAAGGAATGCAAGCAAAAACTTAAAAAGATAAACATGGAGACAGCATAGCATAATCTAATAAGGACAGACTCTGGAGGCAGACAGACCAGTGTTTGGGTCCTGCCTTTATCCCTTACCGCTTATATGACGCTGGATATGTTAGTTAACTTTCCAGAGTCTTAGTTTCTTCCTTTTGAAAGTAGGTATAATAATGCCCTCCTTGTCACTGGGGCCTTAAATGTTTGTAAAGCACCTAGCACAATGTTTGGGCTTGAGACACACTCAAAAAGTAAAGCTGTAATTCTTACCATTGTTACAGATATACATGGGGGGGAATAGTTGATTTGGCATCATGGGTGGCTATATTCCATGATTTGAAATCTTTTTTTACCTTATTTACACTTGGATAGAACCTAACTTTTATTCCAAAAGAATTTTCTAATATGACCATTTCAGAATAGAAATGTCTTTCCACATAGAAACAGTTCTAATATAGTTTGTCTTAATTTAGGCCCTCTTCCTCTTGCCTTGTTCACATCCTCCCAACTGGTCCTTTGGCCTCTACTCATCTGTCTTCTGTCCCCTATTACAGGATTATATTTGTAAGAAATAAATATTTAGGCTTAATGAGATAGTAAATGAAAAATATTTACTATGATTAGCACTCAGTACATGGCTCTCCCTCCTTCCTTGCCAATTAGAAAAACAAAGGAAGCTTGAGGGAGAAGGACAAATATATAAAAGAGAACACTTAAGAAAGAGGTGGGAGCGGCCCCCTGACTGGCTGGCATACCTACCGGTCAGTGCAGGCCTGGGCAACCCTGCGCTTTGTTCTCTGCCTCCCTGCCCGAGCCTCTTCGAGAATAGCCAGTGGCAATGCTGTGAGCAAAGACCTTGACACCTGGAGAGAACAGATGCTCCCTTAGTCACATTTATTGATTATGAAACTTTAGTCATTTGTTTAAATAACTAGGTTCAGAAGCATCTTGAGGGCTATGTCCACATAAGCCCTCAGGGCAGAATTTTTGATGTGTGGAAGGAAGGGGCACAGCAAAGAGGAAGAGAAGGGAGGGAGGGAGAAATGAAAAAATGCAGGTAGATAGAAAATGTATTTGTTCACAAACCAGGAGTCTATAAGCCAGGTCTGTGCCTCTCATGCCCAGTCTAGCCGAGGTCGGTCCACTGGGGAGACTGAGGCTTTGTGCATCTGTGCTGCTCTGTCAAAGTCTTCATTGCTTCTGCTTGACCCAGTTTTTGACTCTGGTTGAGTGACTCTGTCCTGCTTGCTTTGATCTAATTATGGTAGTGAGTTTCAAAAAATTGTTAAATCAGTGCTCTCTGTCATTAACATGCTCCATTATTGCCTATAATACATTTCCTCCTTAGAACTCAAATTTTTCACACACTTATTTCTATACTTAGCACATTTCTGAGGTAGAAGAAACATGTAGAGTTATTGCTGTTTTGTAAACAGACAACGGATTTAGGAAAAGCTAAATATCTTGCGCAGAGTTATATGGTGACCAGAAGGGTTCAGTCTAGAATCCAAATCTAGCCCACTGTGCTTCCCTCTGGACCACACAGCCCATAGTGGTACAAACACATTTCCAGCCTGAGCTTCCTTCTGTGTAAGCAGTTCTTGATCTGGCCTTCTTTTCACTCAAATCAGTCTAGCAGTGTGGGAGGAAAAGAGCAGAAACAGTTTCATACAGTGTCTTTTCTTTGCTATGAGGAATATGTTAAAGATTGATCTTTATTTTGCACTTCATTTTTATTATCTCTGTAGGTGCCATGATCCCCATCATCACAGAGATAATAAGAAATACTGTGCTACTTCAAGCCAGTAATTGTGCAATTTACAGTGTTAGTGTAGCTGTAATAGTTGTTTCAGAATACACAAAGGGAAAGTGGCATATTAGAAAGGAGTGGGTTACCGAACGCATAAGCCTACAAGCATTTTTCACAGACATGATCTTTTTTTAAAAGCTGGGCAGGAACTCAGAAATCATCCGGTTCACCTCCCTCCCTTAACAGCTGAGGTAACTGAGGCCTAGGAAGATGAAGTGACTTAGTGGTTGGTATTACAAGGCAGGAGTGTGTGTCATTTTACCATGTTCCCTATTAAATGGTAGATGGATAAACATCTCAGAATAAAAAACCCTTGGTCTTTTCTAGCCTCATGACTTTATGAGCCCGGCACCTTGGACGTGCCCTTTCTTTGCTCCAGTAAAGGCCATGATGACAACATCCTCCCTGGCATCCAGAGTTTGAAAATCTTTCCCACTGGGAATGACCTTATGGACTTTTTGCCTCACATTTCTCCTGTTTGCCTTTATAAACCTTCAGATGCTCTATCAAGATTTAGCTCACCCTTTTCTGGGTATATGTCTTTTTTTAATTGTAGAACCATCAAACTTAACTGTCTCCTACCTGTAGCTCTGGATTCACATTTTTTTCTGCTGGGGAATATTGCACTTTCATTAAATGTCCTTTCTCTAATCTCAGCTGTATACATCCCCTTAGAGCGAGAGTCACAGAAAGCCACCAGGGTGATGTTTTAAAAAAAAATTGAAATGTGAATACTTACCTGGCTTTCTTATACACGTTTGTTACCTGGTTTGTCCCTGTAGGTGCTTGAGGCTGGAAGATTTACCTTAGATGGCCAGAGGCTTCCTTTTATGACCTCAGTGTCTAGGATGATATTTTACTGGCCCTAATTATAGTGAAGACTTGACTCTCTCAAGCACATATGTAAAACTTAATGCATACATAGGTGGGCCTAACTTATGGTATTTGGAGACGAGTCATTTTAACCTCATGAATACTGGAGCTTTTTATCATTTCTGTATGGGGTTTTTTTCATTTTTTTTTTCAAAGACTTCATTTATTTGAGAGAGAGTGAGGGACCACGAGAGAGAGAGACACCAGTGGGGGGAGAGGCAGAGGGAGAGGGAGAAGCAGACTTCCCGCTGATCAGGGAGCCCGACTCGGGGCTTCATCCCAGGACTCTGAGATCATGACCTGAGCCGAAGGCAGATGCTTAACTCACTGAGCCATCCAGGTGCCCGTCTGTATGGGTTTTTAACCCTCATGTGTCTAAGTGATGCTTTGCCCCGCAAGAAGTGGAGAGGATTATGATGGCCCATCAAATGGAAGCTTGGAGAGCAGATGGTGTGGGCCCCACAACAGGGCAGGCACAGCAAGCTCAGCAGAGAAAAAGGCTTAAGGACGATCTAGGCTGGTCAAGTGCCTCAAGAGACTGTTCTCTTAATGTGATCAAATGAATCAGAAGTTGCAATGGGCCAGAGCTTCAATTGTATTTGCTTTGGCACTGCTGGATTCCTGGGCCTTAAGGAAGACAATCTGGGGTGGAAGAAGAAAGCAAAGACAGTTTGATAAATAAGATGAGCCTTTTTACAGGTATGGGTCAGAAAACTCACTCTGAGATGTGATATGGACCCCCCCAAAATTAGTATTTTGTACATTTTTACTATATTAAGTGGGTAGGAGAAAATAGAGAGTAAAAATTTGAATAAGGTATCTATTCTATCCTTTGCGGAGATATATTTAAAACTCCCACTTTTTAGTATTTTAAATTTGAGTTAATGACCTTTTTGCCTTAAGGGTTGATGTTATTTTGAGGCTTCTTCCAAATGACCCATTTCAGTAGCATTTAAGTTTAGCTTTCTCAGGTCTCACTTAGATGCTTGGTAAGGCATTTGGTGTTTACTTTCATACTGTCAGTGTGATCTAGCTGTTGATTTTACACTTTATTTGATTTTTTATAAGTTTGAAGTCTTTCATTTAAGAAATTTAGACAAATTCAACATAGGAAAGGCCTCAGGAAAAATTACTAAATAGCTTCTGAATCTGTTCATTTTTGTTTAAAAAAGGAGTGAGTTCCAAAATGGTAAAATACTGTCAATCCTCGAACAACATGGGTTTGAACTGCACAGGTCCACTTTTATGCAGACTTTTTTTTTTTTTGGTAAATACAGTACAGTTCTGTAAATGTATTTTCTCTTCCTTATGATTTTCTTAATACCATTTTCTTTTCTCTAGCTTGCTTTATTATAAGAATATAATATATAAGATAGACAACATACAAAATGTATTCTGGTCAGCTGTTTATGTCA